TATAAAGACTTAGTAAAGCCTTGCTCAGTGGTGTAGTAAGAAGGATCCGAGGTTCTATCAGCCAGATGCCGCAATGGCTGATGCTCGATTCCTCCCATGGCAGTCGATCCGAGTCACAGGAATTGGGGGAAGTTGAAGAGGTCTCGAAGATGAAGGTGTCATCGCTCAAGGTGTAGTCGTTTTGCTGCAAGATCTTCCTTGTACGCCACCTGCCTCTTCCTACCCGCATGATTTGGAGAGCGGCCAACATCCTTCCACTTTCCGGAAGTAGAGTGTCAAGAAGTTTGATAGAATGGGCAATAGCCAGGAACTTTAGTCCAACAAATGTTTGAGAGGCTGACGCGCTGGATGTTCGAGGGCGTGTTAAGGAACGGGTCTGCACAGAAGGGACCAGAATTATCAGTCATGATGAGCAGTAAGATGCGCCTTTACAGTTCGGTCTGGTCTAGTTTTTGTGAGTGTTGTCAACATGTCGCGTACAATTTGGAGGCAGCCGTAGTGGCGGTGTCGAGATGATCATTGGATGATATGCCGTCCAAGGTTTCATGGGCATGTGTAGATTGACCGACAGGCTCGACATTATAAAATTTGAGCACCCGCTACAGGGTCTGGGTATCACGGAGTTAGGGAGTTATAGAAGCCTTCTCAGTAATTAATATGTTAACGACGAACCTTCAATTTAAGATCTAAGCAGGTCCCGGGCTTTTAGCTTAGATCAGATAGCCTGGGGGAGTATAGGAAATGCGATAGGCTTCCTGTGGGTAGAAACAGTATCCCACGTTGATGGGATGGTAGCGACTTTGTATTGAAGTGGATAGGTCGAGGTTGACGTTTGGATACCCCGTGTCACTGATGAAAAAAGGGCTCGCGTTTCTGAGGGCAGATAATTGAAGTGAGCAAGGATGCTTCAAATCAATGCAAATATTCAGTCAGTACTTATGTCACCAAACGTAATGTATGTCCCGACAGCCTTGATAGAGTTGAAGGGTATTGATAGGAACATGGTCCAGGTGCTTGTTGTATGTGCCCGAAGTACAAGCAATGTCAGCGCAAATGCCACCGCTAGATGTCACAATCAGGATATGCTAGCTGGATATCCTGGCCATCGAGCTTTCCACAGGGTATTGGTTCCAGACATGGTGCCAGCACAGGTTACAACAGATCTCTCAGCATCAAGCCCGAGACGTATTCCTCGTCCAGCGACGTGTTCAATAATATTGAGGGCGAATCTTGTCCTCTGGCAGCCCGAAACGAACCTCTTCTGACATAGGTCCGTCAACCCTTGCACATTCAAGCGTCTCTGATGATTGACTAGCCTCTTATAAGATAGGTCGGAGGATATTGTCTTACGGAAGGGAAACAGCTACATCGTCTCAAAATTGATCTTGATGACAGTCACAATAGAGCACAATGCCCTCACTGATCCTAAAATAGATCCAGGACTGGAATTCGATCGAATTACTCCGAGAAGGTTCAAGTGTAGTAAAAGCACTCACTCCGGCGGCTCCATGGCTAACGGTGCCCTCGTCAATGACTGAATGTACGTCACTGAAAGCTTGCTGTCGCTTTAGCTTCGGCTTCAGTTAGATTTTATTGAGTAGCCTGATCGCTAAGCTATAGTTGTCTGGCGTATCAGCTGCAGGCGTCGACAGAGGTCTCGGCGAGCTTGGCGAAGAAGCTTCCAGTAAGATACCGGTGACCCTTCTCGCCTGAAGTTCTACTTATGAACAGTTTTTGAGGAGAAACCTGGATGTTTGCCTTAATGAACGAGGCTCTCCCTTCGCGCCTGGCGGCACACGGGCCAATTTGTGCAATTTGTCTATCAGTCTACCCGGGGGGCCAAAGCTGTACTATAAGATAGCGACGATTGGGCGCCGTATGTGGTGATGGAAGTCAATTCTTTCGCATACGGATGGATCCAACCATTTACTGCTGGATGTTTTCCGATGGGCTAGAGCTAACAGATTGGAGCTGTCCGAGACGACGACTTGCATGCTAGACAATACACTCAACCTGGGGTGCGGGAGGTCGACACTTCCTGGTTCACCTGGACTAGATTGGGTAATCGATATCGATTCATGTATTGGCAAGTATCATATGGTTAGTTGATATTACTGCGCAAAAGAGATATGAACTCGCTGTAGTACCGTCTGTCATATTTGGCAGTCGGAGCTGCCAACATGGCGCTGATCCGAACCGACAACAACAGCAAGTTTAGATGGAAGACATGGACGGGCAGAGAACAGCATTTTAACGATCGCAGATCCCTTTATCTTTCGTGCCGTCGAGTTGGTGCCCGTTTCAATATTGAAGACCAGGTGAGTGGTAGGTTGGCTCTTAGAATACCTGTTGTCCGTGCGGGAAGTTTGAACTTCGGAATATCTGAACGTCGGTAGAAACTTTATGAAACGGACACCAGTAACGAACCTGTAATGGGTGCTTGTGGTCTTAGATGATACTTAAATTGAGGACAGAGCGTCGGAAAGTGAGCTGCCGATTGAAGTTCCATGTGATGTGATGATGGCGACAGTGCATGAACAGGGGCAACTGGCGACACCCTCAATTCAACAGGCATTGAGTATTTCCTCGTCAGTTTTACTCTGCATTCTACTTAATCTTCAAGAGCATTACTTAGTATAAAACCAACTCAGATACATTCTCGAAAAGCTGTTGCCTAGCAGGGAGAAGCAAAACAATAGCGTTTCTCTACGAAATATTAAACGCGCTGATTGCTCGCTTCCTTTTCCACATCCGCACATCACTTCCCTTAACTGTCGGGATAACGATTATCAGGCCCCATCAATACTGTTCCTGACCTTGAACTTGGTCTGATCACTGTAATCCTCGACGGCAACAATGAGAGCCATTTCGGTCACACAAACAACGACCATGTCAACAGGTATCAATACCCAACGATGCCAACCAGCCTGCGAAGCCCACCTGGGTCCATGACCGAGTCATCGCTTGGTAAGCCGGGACCTGAGGACCCTTAAGTTCCCGGGTCTCCTTCTGTGAGTAGTACTCCTCTTCCACAGCCCGAGCGGAGTAGTCTAACAACCAGCATAATTTCCAAGGCCCACACGATGCCCATCTCGAGCGTCTGGGCATGGAGGTGCTACCGCTGCAACTAGTTATTGTTTCGTGCAGGTCTCTCTACCAGATGAGGATGCTATGAAAAGGAATGTCGGTTCTTCAAGTGCAGAGGCAAGAGACAGGGACCATTATGAGCACCTTATTTAACATTGATCTTTAGAGCGTTACATAAAACCTGACTTCAGTCTCCGTCCGATATTCGACCTCTGTGGCCTAAATTTGAGTCGTCTGTTTCTCAGTAATAAATTCGTACTGACTTTACATACGAATCCTCCAAATCAACGGCACACTAAACTCGCTCACTATATGGCCGTTCCATCGACCCTTCAAATCAGCTTTGAATGAACCCAGGTCGGTTTCGTACCATGTACCCGTCATACTCGAGTCATCGCAATAGGAGAATTGGCCCTCCCAGGTCATTAACATACCCCATCCACTGACACACACCGAAAGGCTCACAGCGGATATTTGTTCTGAGATATGGAAGGAACAGATAGAATTCTGTTCCATCGGGTCGGGTGGTTCATGTTGGTTCGTATTTGAGACGATCTGTTTGCTATTAGCGGTTAGACTTGACGTGATGATTTCTTTCCCACATTCAGTTGCCAGTGTGGTGGGAAAATGCAGTAGGTGGTTGTTTCTATTTCTGATGCTTATGCAGTCTACGGGATCATGCTAATAATGCATGTTGGTTTGCTACAGCATGTCAGTGGGATGAGGTCACGTTATCTCAGCATCAGTAACGCCTTTAAATTATACCTAATTAAGCAGAGGATAACAGAATGCTTTTATGCAGGTACTGACGCCGAGGGCTCTTTCTTCCAATAAACACACATAGTCTCCTTCGACTTCTCCCTCCATAGTCGATTCGGGCTTGCGTTCTTTCGCGGCCTTTCTCGTTGTCGCGGTTATGACTTTGATCGTGCGCGTTTCTTGCGTCCACGTGGTCTGTGGCCCCCTTTCGTTTGCGGTCTCTATGCCCTCGACTCGCCGTTCTCGTCCCCATACCGACTAGGAGTCAAACCTCACATAGATTTCCAACATTATGAAGTTCCACCAGTGCCGTGCATTTCTGTATCATTCGTTCTTGGTCTTGGAGCTAAGCTAGATGATCAGGATCATGCAAGATTGAGTCGGATGGGGACGACCTACCGAGGCATTCTCCTGCGGCAAGTATTCGAGGTAGAACCCAGATATCCCTCCTCATGCGTCACGGTGCTTGGTGATGGCGATGGGATGGCGAAGATACAGTACTGGCATCTATTTGTAGCCATGAGCTTTGCAGCTAGTTTGAGTGTGACGTGGCGGTCGAAATGTATCTGGCGTACCAGCTAACCGACAACGCGACATATGAAAGTCAGCGTTATAGATCGATGTAATAGCATTTGACAAGGATTTGACAAGGATTGTTTTGGAGTAGTGAGGATCATTGTGATGGTAGACTCATGGTAATGTACCTTTATAGGGTGATCCGCATATGTGATCAAACATCAGATGGGACTTCCGCCAGATAAGAGCAAGAAGGAAACGGATATGTCAGGCATTTGATTACAACCGCTGATGAGGGACATTATCAGTGGCTACCGGTGGAAAAGCAATAGTCTCGGAGATTTCTGTGCACAATAGCAATCACAGTTCAAGCACCAAACACCCAGTCTCATCTTCCTTCGTGTCGAGCGCCCTATAATACAACTACAGACCTCATTGAGGTGCGTCACGCTCGTCTACTATCCTTTTCCATATCGGCAATCGAACTTTGATCCCAGTCTCACAACACTCACACTTATCTCTAAGGAATGCTCCAAGACCATGCAGACCTGCCACTCATTGTCAGTGCGCTTTTGCGAGGTCTCCAGGGTTCTGCCTCCGCAACTTGGGAATCTGTGCATCTTGATTAACGAGACGAATCAGGAGTTACCGTCAGTGATGAGGCGTCGGCAGTCAGACTCCCACCAGCCGTCGTCCCTAGTCGTCGGGAGGATTGATGGTCGGTCGGGAGTCAGAATCCGAGTCGCATAGGTCAATCACCTCACTTACGATAGCTTTGGTGATGACATATACAGAGGAACGCGGTCGCGGTGGTGTCGCAGGCAAAGAACCCAAGGGCAAGGGCTGCACTTGATGCGGCGCGTGGGGAAGAGCTGCTCCATAACCAAGATGCAATCTCCAGGCTCCATCATGTCTCTGTAACCCATCGGGTGGTGCTGCATGCGCTCCAAAAGAGCAGCTCGAGTGTCGGCAAAGGTGACGGTCTTGTTGCGGTGTAGATCCCATTTCTCGACGAGGTTGTAGAAGACCTCGAGGACAAGGTCGAGACAAGAGTCATTCCCGCAGTCAGCAAACATCTCCTAGGGATGCTAGCCGGTGAGGTTCTTGGTGTCGTTAGCAAGTTTTTGGCCCCGGGCGTCGAGCCAGGTTGTGTAGTTTGGGGGGTAGTAAAGGCGAGGGTCGATTGGGCCAAAGTTGGGAGCCATAATGGAGGGGTTGGTTTGAGACAGGGAGGTGCAAGCAGATGCCTTTGGTGAGAAATGAGGGGACAAAGATTGACTGAGTGTAGTGTTTTTGCGGTGTGAAAGCGCAAGCTTTGTGATGATTGCAGTTATTTTGTTGAGGCACTTTGAGTGAGAAATAAATGGAAGAGAAGAAATCGAAGCTGCGTTGTGGTGATGTCAGGCAGGAACTGTGAGGGAAGTGGTGGAGGGGCCACAGTTGATGATAAGCACGATAAGATTGCGATAAGATGATCAGGGAACAAGATGACCCCGTCTGCCGAGACGCATCGCCATGATGTCATGCAGCGCTCAACAGAGTGCGCTGTGGTCAACCGAGTTGCCAGATTCAACCCTGGTCTGCGAATGTCTCGGTGTTGCGTTGCTGAGATGTTGGCGTTGGAAATTGGCTTCTCCTCTCGGTGCTGGTGGACGCTCATGCAGGGCGGCTAGTAAAGAGGGGAGGAGGAGTCATACAGGCCAAAAACGAACTACATGACACGACCTTCCCAAAGGTCACAATGACAGGCGTTGCTCACGCGTAGGGCATCTCCTGGGTGAATCTCCGAGACGAGAGCATGAGAGGGATGTAAACAATAGAGTGACCGGCGCTGGGCGAGCAACCAGTCTGACCAACTGGGTTAGTGCGTGGGCCGTCTATCCATTGTTTACACATGCCACGTATTAATGTTATTGTTTCCAACGCCGGGAATCGGTACAAGATTAAATAAATGTACTCTCGCCTCAGGGTATTCTGTTTACATTGAGTCTGGTAGCACCTTCAAAAAAGAGATCCAGCTGTCCCAATTAAACCCTCAAATATATTAACAGTAGAGGTCCCTACATAGACCGAAAAGCAACAGTAACTCAAATTTAATAAGGTTACCTACCATATCAGCCATAACTCTATTTCTTAATGGCATAAAAACCCCTGCTGGGGCCACTTTTCCCTCCTTACACTCCACTTTAATCAACCCACCTAAGACTTACATAAGTAGAAGATCGCAACTAGGCAACAAAGAGATCAGCATTACCTACAAGGCAAGAAAGGCACAAGCTCACTCACCAAGCAACCTGCCAAGCCGGAAGTAGACCTACTAACCTCTCTTATAAGTAAATAAATAAAGCTAACCTTAATTACAGTTAAGATATCGAACGCGACTAATACCCCGAAGCCTATATATAAGGCTATAGGTCTATAAGAGGCTGATATAGCCTAGCGATAATGCTAGGATAATTATATTACGTAAGAATACTATTCTTAAGTACCGTAAGGAGTTATAGAGAGGAGCCAGTAAGCTATTAGTAATTAGGTAAGATACTAAGACCGACTAAAAGTTACTAGCCCTTATTATCTTTAGCTATAAGGTCTTATAGACTATAGGCCTCTATTCTATCTGGTATTACTAGCTCGATAAGGATATATACCTACTTAGAGAGCTAGAGGAAAATAAAGGCCCTAGAGGCTTCTTTAATACCCTGAAAATAGGCTATAAAATATAGATTATATAGCTGATCTACTGGGCTATGTTAATTTATGTGAACCTCTGAGGGTACTAAGGAAACCAGTAGAGTGCGGTCTTACGGACTGTGAAGAGACTGTTAAAGTCAGAATTGTGGGAGGAAAATTCGTATGCGCTGCGAGATAGAGTTTTTTACCGAAGGTTAAAAAGTCCTTCAGTCCGAGGGAAGAAGCTGCCGTAATCAATTGACCGAGATTACGTGACCTAATAACCCCTCCCTACAGTGACTAGATAAGATAAGAGGCAACCAATAGTAATTTAATAGTAATGTAACCGAGAGGGTATTCTGTATGTCCTTATAATTCATTCACATTTCCATATGCAATTCGTCCGGTCTGTCGTGAGGTAATGCGGTTCATTGCCCCAAGCACCATACTGATAACAGCGTTCTTATTCTACCCAGTGTCTCACCAACCGAGATATGATCTTGTCTTCAGTGACGCATGAGTAACCTTCTATATTAGAATCCATCAGCACGGATCATGCCGCGAGTAAGAAGATTGTTCTGAATGGAAATTGTGTCGTCTTGATAATTGTATCTTAAAAAAGACGCCATGATGTTGTAGCGTTGATAAGGTGGTGCTGTTGGCGATGTGCGAGGGAGAAAATGCGAAGAGGAAATAATCTCATGTAGGGCAGTTTAGTGAAGAATATTAACGGTGTCTCCTCAGGCCTCTAGGGGGAAGAGCCCCACGTGCTATGGGTGCAGGTGATGAGGCCGACACTCGCTTTTATGGTTGCTTTTTATTTCTTTTAATCTTGTTATTCTATTATAGTCTATATCTCGGTGTTGTCCTCGCTTACACATGATTATATATTCATTCTATAATGGGTATTAACTTAAAAGGCTTTAAGGATTCTCTTCAGTCTTTTTCTATATATAGGGCAAAAGCTAGGATTAAAGTAAATATAATGGCTTTAGTATTAATTTAATCTTTAAGAATATTAATTGTAGTTTTAAATTATCAAGTTCCTGTAATTAACTTAATTAAACTAAATAGTACTCTAGTTTACTAAGGTACTAATATATTAGTATTTAATAATTTGATAATATAAAGAAATTATTTAAATTAGATAGTATAATACTACATAAGAACTATTAACTTATAATAGATAGATTTTCTGACGGATAAAGTAGTCTATTCTTGAGTTTATATTATTAGGATTATAAAATAAGATATAAATGTAATGAAGTATTGTATTTATTAATAGTTAATAATATAGATAAGGCTTACTAAGATAAAGAGGTTATATTAATAGCTAGTAAGTGTAATTCTATTGAACAATGAATAAATATATATATATAGTGATAGTTATTTATGAATTATAGTATAAAATATAATAATTCTGCGTAGAAATTATCAGGGATTATAAATAAGCCTAAATAATTTATAAATAGTACTAATAATTTAATACTTATAAAAGGTTATTGGGACTTGAATGAATTTTTATTTAGTAGAATATTACCCTCATAGAAATATAGACTGGCCTTTAATTTAAATTTAGGCTAACCTACTAGCTATTAGTATCGTATTAGTCTCCTATATCAATTAAATATAGGTAAGTCTAGCATATAAGTATAATTACTTTAAGGGCTTTTAAAAAGGAAGAATTTATAGTATTAAGTCTAGATCTAAGTAAATAGCTAGACAAGTTAGTTATCTAGAGATAATACTAATAATATCTACCCTTAGTAAAGAAGAAGTAAAAGGGCTTTATTCTATTATTATAATTTAGGTATAAAAGTAGCTATTTTATACCTTAGACTTTTGAATCTATAATATTTCTTTTAACTAATATTATGCTAATAAGAATATGTATAATAGTATCTAAAATCCTAAATATACAACATTAGTAAAGACCTAATACCTCTAGTTGTTCCTAAGCTTAATAAGCTGTGTCCAATATAATCAACCCGTTTCATATCTACCTGTCCTGTCTCAAGCAGTAGCTTCACTATTGCTATATCTCCTTTAGTAACTGCATACATAAATGATGACCATCCGTCATTATCCACCTGTTTCATATCAACATGTCCTGTCTCAAGCAGTAGCTTCACTATTGCTATATCTCCTTTAGTAACTGCATACATAAATGATGACCATCCGTCATTATCCACCTGTTTCATATCAACATGTCCTGTCTCAAGCAGTATCTTCACTATTGCTATATCTCCTTTAGTGACTGCATGCATAAATACTGACCATCCTTCAACATCAACCTGCTTGGTCATATTAACCTGCCCTGTCTCAAAAAGTAGCTTCACTATTGCTATATTTCCTCCAGTTACCGCTTGCAGTCCAATCTTTTGTTCGATGCCGATATCGACACCAGCACTGATCAAAATTTGAAGTGTCTTCATAGCCTTCCTTGAAACGGCTAACTTCAAAGGCGTTTGACCGTATTCGTTGCTGATATTGATATGAAGAAGGCAATTGCTTCTCTTGGACGTATGATTATCTTGAGCAATGTGATTGGCCTTTTGTTGTTCACCTTGCCGGACCATGGAATTGTTTAATAGTAAAATAGCCAGATCTTCGCGATTGTTTCTAAGAGCGATGAGGAGGGGCGTGTTCCCATGGGAATCTTGTACATTCAGCTCTGCCACCTCCTTTTCTAGGCAGGTCCTTAAAAGGCTGGCAGACCCTAGTCCTACCAGAACGTGGAATATGGTTGCGCCTATGAATGGCCATCCTTGTGGAGCATATAGGGCATTGGGATCCATTGTCTTCCATATAACAGCAAAATCTTTGAGAAACTTTGAGCAGCCCCAGTGGACGAGCTCCAGAAGATCAGTCTGTGGAATCCCTGCTTCTTCAACTGTATTGATATGTTGAAGAATGAATGTGACCCCATAAGGGAGCAGAGGAAACCGGATGGAAAGCCGCCGTCGAGTAAATGAACCACACTCTAGGACTTCTCTCATTGTTAAGTACCTGAGACAAGACCTCGATATTGCATAATGGCCCGCCCCAATCACAGATTGAGAGGCAGGTTTGCGCGTAGCATGGCGGAGAAAATTGTCCATGACATAGTCTGCAGCTGATTGATGTATGAATTGAGCTTCTTGGCCCCATTTTCGGCCTTGGAACTCTATTAACCCCCGGGAAAGATGCCGGACTCGAACTTCGAGCTGAGATAGACTCTCACACCAGTCCTTATGGCCTCTGAGTTGCGACACTGACGTAAAAGCTATACTTTTGTCGATAGCCAGTGCCTCGCGAAGCTCTTGAGCGGACAAAGCTCTTTTAGCAAACAAGACCCATTGGAAGAGTTTCACCATCTGAGACTCTTCAGCTTGAGTCGATCCCCGTAAGATTGCCTGATATAAATCTTGGAGGTCGTCGGGGATGGTTGCAATTTTTTCTAGTAAAGTATTGGTCCTCGTTCCAGTCATGCTTCCATTGCATATCATGTCTGTGATTAGAATTGCCCACTGAAAGCTTCCATGTGCCTTAGATAAAAGCTCGGTTTCAATCCGTTGGAGGTTATTGAATCGCTGGATTGACTTTAATCTGTCTTGGATGACCAGTCTAATATCCTGGCCATTCTTCTGTTCCACAGAAATTGTCGGCATCGTCTCAAAGCCTAGAATCGGGTAATGTCTAGAAGAAAAGCATATCTTCACTGATGACCCTTCTCGCTTAATGTCTTCCATCAGAGTTTCGATGTAGGCTAGTAATGCTTTTGCATGGCGTTCCCCACATTCGTCAAGAGCGTCGATAAATATTACAACCGGCCGAACTTGGGTTTCCTTACTGGCTAGGATCTTAGACATGAACCCTTCGAGTTCCTTTTCGGACCAGCTCCAATGTCTCTGCTCGTAGGATCCGAGGCGTTCCTGTTTGGTTTGAAAGCACTGGGTAAGCTCCTTAAGGTAGTCCGTCCCTGGAAAAGCCCATCGGGTCCTAGCTGGGAACCACTGCTGCCGCGTCTAAACCCACTGACAGAAGTCCCCGACCAATTTTGTTATCATTTCCATTCCCTTGTCCTTTGAAGAAAGCCGAGTTGCTCACCGGACCGATGTGTCTAGCGTCATTGGTCCGTTTTCTTCAGTCTTTGGTGTTTTTTCTGATTTCTCATCAGGCTGAGAAACGCTTGGGCTCGCTGCTGAAACCTTGGCAGCCTGGAGCAACTGTTGGTAGTCAGGATACTGGAACTCCAGCTTGAGCCCATGGGTCCTGAGCAATCTCTTTGTCATGAGCAGTCCAATAGACGCAGGGTTCTCGCGCGCCCTAATACGACTCCACCATTCGACCTCGAGATTTCTATCGTCCCCATTCTCTACTTCCTCCTCACTGTCGCTGTCAAAGCCTTCTGTCTCCCAGAGCTGAAACATGTCGTTCTTGAACGTGCACTGGGCGAGATCGACGATAAAGGGCATATGTGTTACTTTGTCGACTACCACATTCCGAGGCCCGCTATCGTCGAGGATAACATCGCGCTTGTTTATCTCGTGCGCTGCGTCGATAGCCTGCTGCACGATACACGTCCACTTCTGGTGTGACTGTGGCGATGAAGGTGATTTTGCAAAGTCCCAGAGATTGCAGCCTGGAATGACTTGAAGAAGAATGCCCTTAACGCTCATGTAATCACTGCAGTCGGCATTGCAGTTATCCTTAGAAGCGATCCGGACCTGAGCGTAAAGTCTAGGGATCATGATGCCCTGCAGGTCCTTCAAGCGCGTGTACGCCTTCGTCTCGTTGCTATATTGCTTGTTGGCCTCATACCAGAGGGCGGCTTCAAACCTGGCCTCTGCGTCGGGGCCCTCGCACCAATCCTCTGCAGTTGAAGGCAGTGGCTGCGTGCGAAAATCCTCTTCAATCTCATCAATGAAGGATCCCATCGCACCTTTACACACAAACTGCTCAAAGGCAACCTCATCCTCGCTGCGACAGGGAACATACTTGCCCCGTATTTCGCGGAGGTGAGTGCCGAAGCGACGGTCGTAAAGCTTAAGGACGGCTGCCGTTGGACCTTGGGCTGTGAGGAGGTTGACGTGCATCACGGGGGACATGGTCTCGGTGATGAGGCTTGTGACGTGGGCGGTGATGGTGTCCTCGTTGAGAGTGGGGATGCAACTCTGGGTGATGTTCAGTTCGAGTGAGAGACCGGCGCGGTATGAGGGGATTGTCGAGACTCTCCCTGGGCTTGTGGCTGGGCAAGGCGGGTTGAGTCAGTCGGAGAAAGAAGAGGACCACGGTGTGAACTCACGAGGTGTTGAAAGTGACGACATGGTGACAGGAAAGCAGCGGCCTGTTTTCTTTTTGGTGTTTTGATGATGCTGCAGAGATGCGATGCTTTGGGGTGCGTGATGTTGATGAAAGCGTTTGTAGAAAGAGAGTAGGGAGATGCTTTCTCTCTATTTTTGGCTGATGGTGTGAAGTCGTGTTGAGCTGTGTTGCAGGGTGTGTGGAGCCTTTATTGATGAAGAAGATGCGTTCGGCGAGCTTTGTTCAGTGATAAAGCGTTAGCTGCAATGCGTGCTGTTGCGTTCTCTTTAGCGGCGTGTGTGTACGCATGTACCGGAACAAGAGACGTACACGCACTTTGTTCTCCAGTCGAACTATAATCTGCAGTGCGTATTGGTATAGATAATACGGACATACAAGCTAAAACAGACATATCAATTCCTTTTGTCTTCAATCTGAAGCATTCGTGAGATGACCCCTCATCTCTGGTGGTGTTTGTAACCGTTTCTTGCGTTGTGAGAAACAAAGCAGCAAGCCACCACAAGCCCCATTCCCCTCACTGTTAGAAGTGAAGCCTGAGGCAATAACTGCAAAACACCTTGTCTCCAGTGTGGCTGTTCCAAATCTTGCACAAAGCACACACATCTTGAATCACTCAGAGCAAGCTTGACACCATTCCCCTTCACCCATCATGCAATATTCCAGATCCGGTCGCTGCCGCTACACAGAAATGCGCATGGTGCCAACAACCGCTGCAGCCGTCCCAAAATGGAATACCGAAGCGAACGTGTAACACGAACCACCAACCGCGAGAGGGAGTCTTTAAAAACAGGGAGACACCGAGATTGACGAAACATGTTGAGGACGACTCGCTAACAATGTTACACAGTTCCCACGCAAGAGATTTATTTTCCGACCCAGTTTCCTGTTCCCGAGTATCAGTTACACTCGACCAACCATCTTATCTCACACCCGAGTCTGCGGCTACGCGATAGCTAAGGGTCTCATCTTAATTAAAAAGGCGATGGGAAACATGTTTCTCTTAATCTATTTAGCTGTTTGCTTCCGTGACCAGGGCATCGTGGCCGAAGTAAATTGTTCCATAAGCGACTTTGCGAATGGAATCATCATCGTCTAGCAAGCATCGCTTTTGTAAACCTCTGATGCCATCAGTCGAAATGTGTATAACTTGGTTCAAATTCCCCATGTCGAGACAATGATTAGAGCAAAACAACTCCATCCAACTATCTCAACCCACCAGCGCACCCATCATCCATCTCTTCACAGAACCAATCTGTTCTACAACCCACCACCATGGGCCGCACCAATCTCAAGTCCAAGGTCATGCACCTCGACAAGAAACAGGTAGAAGACCTCAAGACGTATCTCGAAAACGCCAAGGGCAGTACAATCTCCATCTCGTCATGGTCCAAGAACTGGGCGTACACCCACGGAGAGACGCGTTCCTCGTCCAACCTCACCTACTACATCGGCGGCCAACTCAACAGTGATGGCCACTTTATCACCCGCCTTTTTGTCTGGACTTTCAAGAGTAGCTACAAGCCCATCTCCGACAAGGATGATGCTATCAGCACTCAGAAGGATTGGTGTACGGAGAAGCCTGACATGTCGGAGGTTCTGAATGGTTACAAGGAGATGTATGATGTGGAAGTCACTCCCCCTGCGAGCTCTGAGGATGAGGGCGAGGACGGTGAGGGCGAGGAGGAATGATGGTGTTTAGGTCCCTAGTCTTGGCGGCTGTTTTGGAGATGGTGCAAGACAAGTGTATGGATGTCCGGCATTCAGCACATGTTGACTTCTTCATCCTGTTGGGTTCTGAAATGTACTGGATAGTTGGCTGTAGAGACTCAGAAATACATTTGTGAACCGTCCTGCTCCTGGCGTGAGATAGAATAAGTCTGTACATTTCAAGCAAGCCTAAACTGGCCCAACCATACATGTCGCTGGATGGATCAATCTATAGATATAAGCACTACTGGCTTATGACTCCTGACCTTCTTCGGGCCGTGGATTGTTCCACTCATGTGTTTCGAGATGAGTGTGGTTTGAAACAGCCAAGACTACGCGGCTTCAAGTAAAGAGACCCCTCGAAAGCCAGATATGAGGGACATGTATCACCGCTTGCGTTCAAGTTCGCACAAGGCAGACACTGCATGTGTGCTCTCACTATCGAAACCACAGAAGAAAAGTCTATATGCTCGACGATCATGCATCTTGTCGTGGCCAACATCTACACAAACCCTCACCTGCTACTCATGGTTGAAGTGGATGGTGGCAGGTCATACCGATAGACCTGTTGCTCTTGGCTGTCTGAAAGATACAAATCTTGCGAGCTTTCTCTTCCTTGTTTGGTTAAGACGGAAAAGTCACTGGAATTGAGGTACGTTTACAAGGAATTGATGGCTTTACCTTTCTAGGTCTGTGTTGCAAATCGTGGGGCTGACCAGGGTTTGTGCACATCCTGCAGCGGGTTCTCCAACATACGTGCCAAAAAGTCTCTTGAGCCGAAGTTCAGCCCTTTGGACAGAGCCCTCTGATAAGTAGCTCCACCAATACGATACCTCGGTGGAATGTTGCCAGTTTGTTTAAGGTGATGAGTTTGTGAAGTACGAGTGGTCACACTCGGACATGTCGTTTTGAACGAGGTGGACAGTCTTGCTCTTAATGACTGGAAGCCCCGATCACAGCTTCGTGATTTCTTATTAGAAGGATGCTGTCTAATGATCCACCAGTGTGGCCCAGAGGGAGAGTAGTCAAAAACACGAAGGAGGTAGTGAGTTAGACTGGGTGATGGGAGGAATTGAGAATGGGAAATGGTTGCTTTCTTATAAGTATATAGGTGTCTGGAGTGCGAAGTGAACTTATTGGGCGGGGCAAGCTCATTGAAGAAGTTTTGTTTGAAGAATCAATTCCTATACACAAAAAGAAAAGACATAGCTGGGAGACGGTTAGGGGTTTGCATAAACGCCAAAAAACATACAACAGCGGGGATTCGCTGGTCGTCACCGACCCAACTACTAATCCGCCGGTTAGTGGCTTGACTATGGGAGAGCGGACGGGATCCCGTATTTTCCACTACCTTTGGTCGTATGTATCAACTGTGAAATTGTCATGGATTATGAACTAAAGGTGTACTGAAGACACTCACACAGCCGACAACATACCTGCCACCACCTCTCCGTTCTCGTCTTTCCAGTTTGATGCTGGTTCCCTCCTTTTGTGTGTTGCGTCTCTTCGAGCCTTGTTCCACTTGCTACGTAGTAAGTCCAACCCTCCTTTCAGCCGCATCTCCTCCGCTCTCAGTGCCACAGATGAGCAGGAGGTGGACTAGAGGATCGATCATTCTTACGAATCTTAACCCCCTTGCTAACGGAGCTCGCTTTGGTTGCAGCCTGCACTAAGCAGGGTTTGAACAAAGGAAAGATAAGCATAACTGGAAGTAGACTATGGTCGATGAGAGAGATGATCTCATATATATGATGAGAACGTCGTGACAATGTCCAGTGGTCTGTTGGATTCGGATTCGAAGAGCTCTCGGCTATCTAGATAATGTTTCCAGGAGACAAGCAGGGACTCTGTGATAAAGCAGACAAAACCCAAGCTATGATATCAAACTTCCTCCCAGTCAAAGCTGCGACCACAGATGATCGACTTCGTCGCCGACCATATCTGACATATGCGCACCCTGCAGCCACCAAGAGCGATAAGCATGGGAACTAACGTACGGAAGACTCTGCGGCCTAGCGGACAACAGTCAATGCTACACCATTTGACTCCGTCTTATCCGACGTAACGATCGCCTCCCAAGGACTCCCTCATCGGCCTGATCTAACGCATGCATACTCCGCGATCATTGACCACAAAAGCTTCAAGTCGGAGACCTGTCAGTCATGGGTCCGGCGAGGCAATCGTCGTCTTGACCTAGGATCCCAACAACAATTGCTCAACTTATCTCAACTATCACACAACCGCTGTAGATATCAGAGAACAATCTACTCTCGTTAGCCTATCCTTAAATCAGCACTCACTTGTATGCCCCTCTACTCACGCTCTTGTCTTTTTCTTCCGTCCGTCTCCCTTATGACTCCCGTCACCCTTAAACATCCTAGCATTGCATGAAGGCCTACATAGACAGTAATTGCGCTCCGTTCACGTAAGCAATACACTACATCTACGCAATCACCTACAGTTTGCAAGCTGGCTTCCCATGAATGGTAGAATATCGTCACCATTGTCGCCATGGTCGACCTGCTCAGAGAAGCCTGGACTATGGCATACCTCTTCAATAAGGGTAGGATACAGAACCCACAGGAAGCTGAGGGACCCGGTCCCATAGTGCAGGACGCGGCTGTCACAGAAGCTCCTGGGTCCTGGTCCGACTTACTTGGTCTCGGTGATATCTTTTTTGACGTGGAGGACCTGCTACCAACGCGTATCACGTAACTGCCACAAGGGAAGAAGCCTGAACATGAGGCACTCTACAATAAGGCTGTGCCACGGAGAAGGCTGCGGTCAAGATAAATACCTCCATATAAGAGGTTTCTATCACAAGGAACCCATGGCCCAGGGACCCACTGCATGTACTAAGAAGCCCGAAGTCGAGCAACCTGATCTTAGTGCCTACCACAGAAGTCTGAGTTCAGGACACCGGCTAGTGCCAAAGGGTTTTGGACGGGTACCTGGGGACCTCCTTGCACCAGTTAGAAGTTTGAATCTGAGATTCCCAACTCTGAGGAATAGGATGCTTCTACCATAGCATCCCGGGATTGGCCCTCCTCTTCTCTTGTACTGTAATGTCCGAGGTCCAGTTACCGAGTCTCAACACACAGGGAGCTCCTACTACGGGATGGAGGAGGTCAAAGGACCTACCATCTCCACCGAGAAGCCTGGATCCGAGGCATATTTCTCACCTACAGGATGCCTCTGCTCTGGGGGTGCTGGGATTGAGCTGTCTGCTAACAATACGAGTTCCAAGGCTGGGGGGGTATGCTCCTTCGCAGAGAAGCCTGAAGTTGAGGTAGAGGATTCCACTGGTTGGCCTGAAATCGAGAGACTGGATCCTGCCTACTGAGAAGCCTAAATTCGAGGCAATCAGCTGCTCGCCGAGGAGTTGGATGTTGTGGCTCTTGATCCTAGTCCTACAACTAAGCAGTTGAAGCCTGATGAAGATGAGCATTCTCTCTTAACCTGAAATGCGAGCACATTCCCTTGGTACATAAGAAACACCTCCTTTAGCCTTCGGCAGATTGGGCATTTGCAACCACATAGGGACTTAAGGTACCTGTTTCTGGCACCTGAAGTACACGTGCAAAGACTCGTTTCAGTTCTCTGTTGATAATTGTGCTGGATGGGCCGGCGAACTCAATGTAACACAAATCCTGAAGTCGGCTGATCCAACTGGCGTAACATCTACGTGTGGTGCTTATAGCCTATGGTGAAGAACGTATGCTTAGCAAAGAAATCACATAAAGCAGCTAGCTCACGACAAAGTTTGAGATATCGACTGTCTTGGAGATGACGTTGAATGTGCAACACAGTGAGCCATGGGAGTTTGGAATTCAATGCTAGACACTGAAGGATAGGCTGGAATGATGACTGAGACAGATTCACCCATGTGTAGTATTGATAGCGTGCAGTAAAGATTGTATCTTGGTAAAGAGATCACTCCAGCAACAGTCCCATAAGCTATTCTAGGATCTTTGGAGTACCTATTCAGATCCTGGGTCTACAAACATAATGCATGGACGTAAGGTGTTGACGATTGCACTTATCTAAGGGTAGATTAGGGGCGTGGTGACGGTGCCTTGTGTCGAATGGGAAATATCGCTCTTGTGGCCTCTATTGAGAAACTATGCTTGGTAACGAGATCACCCCGGTTCAGACACTCCAAGATATTTTATGTGAGTATGTGAGGTCTGGACCAAGCTTTTAGCTGGTTATGGCATAAACTGCTCATCTATGACTGGGAGTCACGTACATCGTACTTCGAAGAGTAAACTGGGAGTTTTGCCGGCCGTTTCTTTGTAACCGACAATAAAGGATGAATGCTTAGTAAAAAGGTTACCCCGTCCTGAAAATACTCAGACGTTTGCAGTGCTTGTGTGAGGTCTCGGTCGGGGTGTCGGTCATGACAGCCATGGATAAGCGAGTGATGTTGAGTGCCATAAATCGAAGGGGGTAAGCTTGGTCGTTGACTAGCATCACAAGGAAAATGTCGCTCTCATTTACCCGTTTGCTTCTCTGGGTACGTTCCGACACTGAATCCGAGGGGTCGGTGACAAATATTGGGCGTCTCTATACCTGCCGCGTTTGCTGAGTCTACGGAGAAGCTACACTGTTCGATGGACCGCTACCATAGCTATTATACTCTTTATTGCCTAGAAACATTAAATCTACATCTCTTGTGAGCCTGATTCGTTACTGGATTCGGCTGTAGGTGTAGGAACTTGTATCACAGGTTGAGCGTCTCCTGGCTCTTAGCCAGGTCTATATTAATCTGGATTGTGCGATTTTAAACCTCCCGGTCACGAGCATCAAAGGGAATCCAGATTGTTTAATAAAGGCAGGCAAATGAGGGTCGACATATGTCATCATTGTTCATGCATCGACCTCAACCTCATCAGAAGTGGTAATGGCCTGACTAGTGACTTTGAGATTTGGCGTGGGGTTGCTGGAGAAACCTAGGTGGGAATGTTGCAGAAATTAGTTGT